CATAGTCTCTCATGGTTCACCTCCCCTTCCAATTTCCCTCAACTCCCTTCTCCTCTCCATCTCCCCTTGTCCTCCATGCTATTTGTTATGCTCCACAAATAAGTGAAACCATATGATAATTAGCCACAGTTATCAGAAAGAAGAGAAAAGGGATCCAAAAAAAATCAAAGATGAGAGAGGAGAAATAACAACCAACACCACAGAAATGCAGACAATTATAAAAGAATATTATGAACAACTATATGCCAACAATTTGGACAATGTAGAAGAAATGGATAAATTCTAGAAACATATAAATTACCAAAACTGAAACAAGAATGGAAAATTTGAACAGACTGATAAGCAGCAAAGAAATTGAATCATTAATCAAAAAACTATTAACAAACACAAGTCCAGGACCAGAGGCAAATTCTACCGAGCATTTAAAGGAAGAGTTAGTACCTATTCTCAAACTATTCCAAAAAACAGGAAAGGAAGGAAAAACTCCAAATTCATTCTATGAGGCCAGTATTACCCGGATACCAAAACAAGACAAAGACACCACAAAAAGAACTATAAGCCAGTATCTTTGGTGAACATGGATGCAAAAATCCTCAACAAAATACTTGCAAACTGAATCCAACAGTACATTAAAAAAATCATCACCATGATCAAATGGGATTTATTCCTAGGTTATGGCGGTGTTTTAATATCTGCAAATCAATCATTATGATACACCAAATTAATAAAAGGAGAAGAATCATCTGATCATTTCAAAAGATGTAGAAAAAGCATTTGAGGGACACCTGGGTGGCTCAGTGGGTTAAATCCTCTGCCTTCGGCTCAGGTCATGATTCCGGCGTCCTGGGATCTAGCCCTGCATCGGGCTCCCTGCTCAGCGGGGAGCCTGCTTCCCCCTCTCTCTCTCTACCTGCCTCTCTGCCTACTTGTGATCTCTGTCTGTCAAATAAATAAATAAAATCTTAAAAAAAAAAAAAACATTTGACAAAGTGCAACATCCATTCATGATAAAAAAGTACAACATCCATTCATGATAAAAAAGTATAACATCCATTCATGATAAAAACCCTCAACAAAGTAGGTTTAGAAGGAACATACTTCAACATAATAAAGGTCATATATTAAAAATGTACAGGTAATGACATCCTAAGTGGGGGAAAACGGAAAGAAAAACTTCTTAGATCTTGCTTCTAGTTATGTGCTGCTTCTCATTAGCACTGTTTGTCATTATTATATTAATCTTAGGGGCACCTGGGTGGCTCAGATGGTTAAGTGTCTGCCTTCGGCTCAGGTCATGATCTCTGGGTCCTGGGATCGAGTCCCATATCAGGCTCCCAGCTCAGCAGGGAGTCTGCTTCTCCCTCTCCTTCTGCCTTTCCCCCTGCTTGTGCTCTGTCTCTCTGTATCTCTCCCAAAAGAATAAATTTTTTAAAATTAAAAAACATTAATCTTAACCTTTTTTACTTCCCACTTTAATGGAGACCAATTTCTAATATATAAGTTATGTATCTTATTAACTCTTTTTGTCATCCATTTTTCTATCTGTTTGTTTTTTCTTAACAAACTCCCCAAAGTTTAGTGGCTTAAATAACATTTATTTTGTTCACAAATCTACTGTTAGGAAAAGTGTGGCTAGGACAGCTTGTTCTCTTCCCCTAGCTTCAGGTGGGGCCGCTGAAAGGCTTGGGGCTGAAACTGTTTGAAGATTTGTTCACTCACATCTGGTGGTGTTGATGCTGGCTATTGCCTAGGACTATAGTTGGGGCAGGCAGCGAAACACTGACACTGGCACACTAGACTCCTTGTGGCCTGAATTTTCTTACAAGATGGGGGGCTAAATTCCAATCCAAAAAAGCTGCCTGAGCTGCAGAGCAAGGCAGAAGCTCTATTGTCTTTTGTAACCTAGCCTTGGAATACACAGAGCATCACATTCACCATATTCTGTTAGGAGAAAGTCACGAAGGTAGGCCCATGGTCTTTTTTTTTAACGGAATGAATATTTAAAAACCTATGGACACATGTAAAAAGCAGCATGATTTACCCACCGGCCACAATTTTTTGTATTCCTCCCACATGAAAAATACACTCACCTCCCCCCACCCCATACCTCCCACAAATCTCAGTTCTCCTGGCATTGGGTTTGGGCTTGAGTCCAAGATCTTACCATCTTAATCAGGTACAGCAGGGATAAGGTGCCTGAAGGTATAGTCCCTTGAGTGCAAGTCCTCTCCACCTGAACACTTGGGAATTAAGGAAGACAGTGCTCTACCACTCAAAATGGAACACTCTGGTAACCTGCTAAGGACTCTCCCGTTGAAAGAAGATGGGAGGCACACTGGTCCATAGCAGTTTTGAAACACACCCTGAAGCATGCTGTCAGTTCTTCAGTGAGGACTTAGTCCTAACCATGGGAATGCTTCTCCACGGCTGTTTGCTTTACTCTTTGAGCTCTTGGTTCTGTCCTTTTCATAAGGAATGACCTGTGTTTGTAGCTGCTTTTTCAGCCTGCTTCCTCCTGGTGGGACTTCTAAGTCTCAAAGGCCTATTTTTAGTTTGTACTATCTTGGTCTCTTTTAGTCCAAGCTCGCAAACAGTGTTTTTGCTACTATAATTCTCTTCGTTTTTGAGTTTTCCGTGAATATGATTGGATTTCTCCTGGGTCTTTTTGAGATAAGTTTTCACCTCAGGTTTCCTGCGAAGCTCTCATTCGACAATGCCTTTAAAATTCTCATACTCTTAAGATCCTTAAAGAAATTTGAGGCACACCTTAAATCCTTCTGAAGTCTTAATAAAGGGTTTATAGTTTTGGCTTCACCCATAGGCCATGTCTTTCTGGATTTGCTTTTAACCCAGAAGCCGTTTCTTTACTTTAGCATTATTTGACAATACAGCAGGTGGAGAGGCTGTGAATGAGGAACAGATAGATGAACCCAGTAAGTCCTTGTTCCTTCATATTGAATAGTCTTTCTTTAAGCTTATCTCTCCTATCGGTTTTACTTTCAAGTGGTTTGTGGCACGAGTTCCTTTTCCCTCTAGTGTCATTTTCTTCACTTATCTAGAAACCTTTACTGTAAGCCCCTTCAAGGGCCATCAGGTTTCCACTAACAGTCTCTTGGAAGCCGTTTTGGTTTTCATTCTTACTCTTCTCTACTTCTCACTCTTAATCTTCTTTCAGGTTCCGCCCATTTCCTGGTTCAAAGAAGGTTTAGTTTCAGTTTTTTGGGTTTTTTTTATGGCAGCACCCCATTTTTAATATCAGTATCTGTGCCGGTTATTTATTGCTGTATAATAAACCATCTCAAAACCTAGTGGCTCAAAACAGCATTTATCTTGTTCACAAATCTTTGGACAAGGCTGAGTAAGGCCAACTCGCTTCTTCATTTGCCATCACGTGGGATGACTGGAAGCTGGGAACTAGAATCATCTAAAACCTTGTTCATGCACATGTTTGGCTGTTGAGGATGGCTTTTGGCTAGGATGTTAGCTAGGGCAGTCTCAGCTGGAATATTTCCATGAAGACTCACTAGGTAGCCTGGGCTTTCCCATAACAGCTGGATTGTAAGGGTGAGGTTTCCTAGAAGAAGAAGTCAGATGGAAGCAATATCACATTTTCTAACCTTGCCTTAAAAATCACACAGCAGGGGGCACCTGGGTGGCTCAGTGGGTTAAAGCCTCTGCCTTTGGCTCAGGTCATGATCCCAGGGTCCTGGGATCAAGCCCGCATTGGGCTCTCTGCTGAGCAGGGAGCCTGCTTCCCCCTCTCTCTCTGCCTGCCTCTCTACCTACTTGTGATCTCTCTCTCTCTGTGTCAAATAAATAAAATATTTTTAAAAAATCACACAACAGTTCTGCCATATTCTGTTCACTAGGAACCAGTTACTAAGGCTAGCACATATTAAGGGGAGGGATTGTCATGGGAGAAGTGTCAATTTATAAAACCACCACATCCACTCACCTTGTCTTACCAATCATATCTAAAGGAAAGGAGTTCTTCCCAACTCAGCATCACTGAAACTCCAGCAAGTTTTTTGGTTGTTTTCATTGCTTAGTATATTCTCTTATTTTGTGGGAAGTTACAAAGGATTGTAACACTGTTGAGTTAAGGAATTTTTTTTTTTGGCCCAAAAATATATGGATCATCCCACTAAATTATTTTTCCCCACTAAATTTTTTTACTGAGAGATGTGATTTCTTAACCTTGTGAATCATTTCTCCTCAGAATGCAATTCAAATTAGCATAAAACATTTGTAATTCAGAAAAAGGCTAATGGCGTTAGAATCAGTATTTATAGATTCATTAATTAGAGTCTTATTTTCAAGTCTTATTTTGGTAAGCATTTATTGGCTCAGACCTACATAAGCCAATATGGTATTCCTAAAACTTCTTTAAAAATTTATGGAGTACGAGGGCACCTGGGTGGCTCAGTTAAGTGCCTTTGGCTTGGGTCGTGATCCTGGGATGCTGAGATTGAGCCCCATGCTGGGCTTCATGATCAGTGGGGAGTCTGCTTCTCCCTCTCCCTGTTCTTGCGCTCTAGCTGTCTTGCTCTCTCTCCCTCTCAAATAAATAAATAAAATCTTTAAAAAAATTATGGAGTGTTAAGATGAGGGAAGGGTTCAGAAACTTTCTACTAAGACGTGACTTACAGTTATTTTATGGAGGAAAAATCTGAAACAATCATAGAAAAATAAAAGTATAAAAATCAAATACAAATGTGTGGCAAAGAGGATGACAGCAGAGATCGATTTTAGCAACTCCTAGTGGTTTTAATTTTGTTCTTGATTTTCTGAGTTATTTGAAGTTCCACATGAATTTATTTTAAAATTTGAGCACCTGGCTGGAGCAGTCAGTAACATATGTGACTCATGATCTTGGGGTTTGAGTTCAAGCCCCATGTTTGGTGCAGAGATTTAAAATCTTAAAAAAAAAAATTTGGGTCTTAATTTTGCATTAGACTATTTTCAATCTACTTCCAAACTGTATTATTTTATTCATGCAGGTTGATGATCTTACAGCAAAACTGGAAACTGTGTTTTCAAAAAACCAGGTTCTTACTCAGGAATTATCATCTATGAAAGAAATACCGACAAAATGTGAAAAGCTAGAGAAGAAAAAAAAGAAGTTGGAACAATAAGTAGTAAACCTCAGAAGTCGTGTAGAAGTCAACATGGTAGAATACAGTGAAATAGAACAGTATAAATGGGAGCTTGAAGAAAGATTGAACATAGCAGAAAAATTAAAAGAAGTCAATCTGTTTTTACAGGTTAATTTATTCATTTATAATATGCTTTAATTCATTTCACTGCAAATTACATTTTGGTTATATGCAGTATAGAGTTTTCCTTTACTTCCTTTATAGCAATTTGGTAAATTTCTGGAAGCATTTGTTCCTTCCTTCTAAAAATTTCAGTTTTCATCATTATTCTCACTAAATTGATCTGTCAGAATGATTCACAGTGGAAAGTCATTTTATTTTTTAAGACCAGTTAGTATAAAACAAGGCTATTGAGAGGAAAAGAAAAAATTGTGCTTTAAAAATTTTTACCATGGGGTACGTGGGTGGCGCCGTCAGTTGTTTGTTTGGGCTACATTCTGAACATGCCTACATTAAAAAAAAAAAATTGTACCATACTTGGATTATTCCTTTTTTTTTATATTAAATATCTTAATTATTTATTTGGAAAGCACGAGTGGGGGATGGACAGGTAGAGAGAAAATTCCAGGCATACTTCATGCTGAGTACAACACAGGGCTTTATCCCAGGACCCTGAGATCACTCTCTGAGCAGAAACCAAGAGTCAGGCACTCAGATGACTGAGTCAGCCAGGCACACCATGTACTTCAATTATTTTTAAGTTGTATTGTTCACTTTTTTAAAAATTTAAATGATTTTATTATTCTTTGAATTATCAGATTGCGTGAGTTCTAATGTAAGAATGAACATTATTCACATTTAATTCAATTTCACATTAATGATAAATATTTTACATTTCAGCTTTTTTTTTTTCACTTTAAAAATTGCTCTCTGAATCATTGACACAAAACTAAAAGAAAGAAATATACTGTAGTTACCCAGGTTGTAACAATTTTAAAACTTGCTTTTAATTTGCTTTAGACACAAGTAGCATCTCAAGAAAGCTTAGCACAGTTAAGAGAAAATAATAATGCTTCACTAAGAAGTCAAATGGAACTCAGAATTAAAGAGCTGGAATTTGAATTATTCAAAATGGAAAGTTCTCAAGAAGATCTTATTAAAACAGAATTGGACAGATATAAGCCCCTCTACCTAGAAGAAGTAACACATCGAACGTCATTGACAAATGAACTGAACAAGTTAAAACAATCATAGAAAGTAGAGTTAGCTTATTAATTTGCCTCTAAACCGTAATTTTTATGGAGCCACATTCATGAGATCAGTAGTACGTGAAAGCCAACTCAATAGTATAATTTTGAAAAATGATGTTTGTAAATGAACTTACTGTTGAAATGTTAGTCCAAGACAGTTTGCATCTCTCTTTTTTTGGTTTTAAATGATTTTATTTTTTTCCCTTGGATATTTTCAGTTAATCTGATCTCCTAGTCTTTAAGCTAATTGTTTGAAGGTTTATAATTTAGACAGCATATTATTATAAAATTGTCAGAACTACCCTGAATAGAAATGAGTTTATTAATATTTATTTATTAACGTTAGTGTATTTTTGGAAGAGTGCATCCTTAACCCAAAAGGTCAAGACGGAAAGGGCAGATTCCACCTCCAGTGCCCTGGCATCTGTGTTATTACCTAATCGCCTCTGGACCTGTTTCAGTTCTTTCTGATCGCGACTCTGCCATCTACTTCTCCCCGAGCAATTGTTCATCTCAATTATCCCTCAGAGCCACGTGCTCAATCTCTCTGAGGTAATGTGTGAAATGTACAAGAGTGGTGAAAGCCAATGCTTGAAAAATGTCTTTGAGGGATTTTTTTAATTTTTATTTTCTTTTAAAGATTTTATATATTTATTTGATAGAGAGAGAGAACAAGTGAGCACGAGCAGAGGGGAGCAGCAGGCAGAGGGTGAGGGAGAAGCAGGCTTCCCGCTGAGCAGGGAACCCAGTGTGGGGCTCAATTCCAGGGCTCTGGGGTCCTGACCTGAGCTGAAGGCAGATGGTTAACTGACTGAGCCACCCAGACCCCGCAGGATGGTTTGTTTTTACAGCTCTAAACTGGTTTACTAAATATAAGTACGTGTCATGGCATCCCCAAGAATCTTTTAAGTACAACCATTCAGAAGTCAGCAGGTGTTACCTGTTAAGCCAGGGACATCACTGATTGCCATTTCTCTCCCTCCTTAATTTGAAGTTCTTATTAGTTAGGAACCCTAAAAATATATGTACTTCTTTAGAACAGTTTTAAACCTATAATTATACATAGAAGATCTGCTCTCTCACATTTACCATGTTAAAACACTGTTTAATGGCACATTCTGTTTACTATTATGGAAACTTAGAAAAATGCAAGTAATTTAGAAATGATTTGGGGAGAAATGAAATATGAAGCATTGTGTTTTGTAATCTTAACAGGACTAGTGAGAGGCTGGCAGAGACCAGTACCAAACTTCTGGTGGAGAAGCAGCAGAAGCAAACTTTGCTTGACATACTAATACGAGGCCAGCCCTAGCACCACCTTATAGTAGAAATGTTAGTAATAATAGTTCACTATTCAATAGAAATGTTGCTCTAAGAGAAAATGTGGTGATTCATACCTCAAACTCATGGCGTTCAAGTAATGACATTGGGACCTTCTTGACCAAGGTTAGTTATATTATCTCACCTTTTTTTCCTTGGGTTTCAGATTTCTGATATAATTTTTGTTTTTAATTTGGTAAAATTCTGAGTTGTTTAGCTAGCTAATACACACTAAGTAAAAGTCATAATTATTTGTGCTAATAAAGAAATGAGACAAAAATTTTGATTTTTTTTCTTAGTTCCTGGAGCTCTTACTTTCAAGAGATACATACCTATTATTACCTTTATTCAATAAATATAACTAAAATGACATATTTTATTATTTTTTCAAGATTTTATTTATTTTAGAGAGAGAGTGTACAAGAGGGGGAGAGAGTGTGAGACTCTCAAGCAGACTTCCTGCTAAGTGTGGAACCCTACATGGGGCCCAGTCTCACAACCCTAAGATCATAACCTGAACCGAAAACAGGAGTTAGACGCTTGACTGAGTTACCCAGGCACCTCAAAACTGACACATTTTAAATTTCTTGAAAACCTACATCTAAATTCGATTTTAGAAAGTAAATATTATTGCTCACTAATGAAATCTATACTTAGATGCTTTGACTAATTTCCTGGTTGACAATGGTTCATAACAATTTTAAAGTTCGCTGTTACCCATTTTTCCCACCCCTATGTATAAGTGAACAATAAGAATCCAAACACTTAATCACATATGGATATTTGTTATTTTAAAGAATCCATGATAAGTCCTTTTTATGAATTTAATAAACTTGTAATGCTAAAAAGATTAATTTTTCTTTTTAAGTTATAATTGTTGTCATTTTCTTCCCTGAGAGTACATCCTTAATTGTTTTCTTACTTGGAGCATTTTTTAAAACTTATAACACTTCTATTTCAATTTCTACAAAATGTCTTGCTGAGCAATTGTAGAGCATTTTCTAAATCGCTAAATCAAGCAAATACTGGATTCTTTTTTTTAGAGAGAGAGAGAGAGGGAGAGAGAGAGTGTGTGCAAGCTGGCGGTGGGGGATGAGGTGCACAGGGTAAACAGGCTCCATACTCAGTACAGAGCCTGATGCAGGGCTCAGTCTCAACGATCCTGAGATCATGACCTGAACCAAAGTCAAGATCAGATCCTTAACTGACTGAGCCACCCAGGTGCCCCACAATTGGAATTTTTAAAATGAAGTTCACATGTATCTACCTTGCCAGCACTTGAATGACTGATGACTAAGATGGGAATAATAGGGAGTCTCTAAGTAGCAGCTAGTTTCCATTGTGTATCATTATTAAAATATCCATTTCAGTGTGGGGAAGTGTGTAAACCTGGCGATTCACAGACCTGTACCCCTGGGGAAAAAATATATATGTTTATAAAAAATAAAATTAAAAAAAATATTTTTTAAAAATTAAATTGCACTTTAAAAAAAATTATTTTACAGGGGAAGGGGGCGCACAGAGAGGAGGGAGAGAGAGTCTCAAGCAGACTCAGTGCAGGAGTGGGGCTGGATCTCATCACCCTGGATCATAACCTGAGCCAAAACCAAGAGTCTGATGCTCAAATGACTGTGCCACATAGACACACCCCAGATAATTTGTTTTAAAGTATCTGGACCTACCTTGTTTAAGCAGTGAAGAAATATAAATTAGAAATATCTGGGCTATGTTAACCATTAAAATTAAATCCTTGGATCTTGATAAATGATAAATTGCATAAGGTCAGAATCTAAGTTCATATTCATTGGACAAAAACATTTTGGACAGTGCAGTGTCCTCTCAGCATGTGGAATATCAAGCTCATCTTTAAGTGATCAATGACATAGACGAATGTTACAAATCTATGAAATCCCAGCTCTTCCATTGGTAGGAAAGATCGCTTTTAAAGGGTATTATGCTGAGTGAAATAAGTCAGTCAAAGAAAGACATTATCATATGGTTTCATTTATATGTGGAATATAAGACTCTGTGTATTGGTATGGATGTGCATATGGTAGGGGAGGGAAAACTGAATGGGAAGTCTTCAGAGAGGGAGAAAAACTATTAGAGACCCTTAAGTATAAGAAACAAACCGGGTTGCTGCAGGGGAGGTGGGTAAGGAATTGGGTAATTTGGTGATCAGCATTAATGAGGGCACATGATGTGATGAGTCCTGGGTGTTACAAGCCACTGACAAATTATTGAACACTACATCTGAAACTACGTACTATATGTTGACTAATAGAATTTAAATTAAAAAATAAAGGGTTGCCTGGATGGCTCAGTCGATTGGGCATCTGCCTTCAGCTCGGGGTGTGATGCCAGGGTCCTGGGATTGAGCCCTGCATCAGGCTCTCTGCTCAGCGATGCTTTTGCTCTCTCTCTCAAATAAACAAATAAAATCTTTTAAAAAGTTAATTAATTAATTAAAAATGAAAATGAAAAAACATACATGTTAAAGGTAATATGTAAAAATAAAATTAAAAAATAACAGTAGAAGATATATTGGAAAATATATGAAAATAAATGAAAAAATAAGTAAAAAAAAAAAAGAATAAAAATAGAAAGGAAGCAGATCCTATTTCCCTTAGAGATGAAGCTGTGCAGCACTTTATGATCAATAAACTTGGAGGAAGTTCAAATAAATAAATAAATAAATATTCACAGAAGCAAAACTTCCTGCCTCAACCAGTATGTCCAAGGGAATTACATCCGACCATTAAAACCACTTCTTTGGGCCTTCAGCACCTGTCTAAAATACAATGACAGAAAATACAAAGAGAAGTCCCTGTTAATTTCTAACAAAGCCATGTGAAGTTACAGAGGCAGAATGAGACAGGGAGGACAGATGGGATACAGCTACCAGAAACAGGTATGCCTTAAGGTGATGTAACCGTGGTGATCAACCAGAGGTATTGGGGGAGTTTAGCAAAGAATGGGCATGGCATGTTTGAGGGGATGGGATGAGTATCAGGTAAAGATGAGCAGAAAAATGACAGGGGCAGGTGTTGCTGTAACAAACTTCAGTAACTTCGTAATTGTGCCAAGCACATTCCTGTTGCCATTCTGAGACCTGACACCAAAGATAGCATCTTCTAAAGGGGTTCCTGTTTTTATTGTTCTGATGAGAAGCCGGAGTCCATTCATTAGCACTGTTCTCACTTCTCTCCTCTTTCACTCTCAACCAGAAATTAGGGTCCATGAGAAGTTAATGGCCCCTGGTTCTGCACCTGCCCCCAATTAGTACTAAGGCAATAGGTGAAAAATATGTTTGGAATCATGCAAACCTCCATGAACAGGTAGACATCCTCATTAAGCCTGAGAATTCAGGTGGGTTCTGAGCTGTGCAGTTGCGCTCTCTGGTGAATGATCCACAAAACCAAGGCCCCTGGCCATTCAGATTATTGCCTGCACCAAGAGGCTGAATAGATTGGGAAAGTTAAAAAGAAATAAGGAGTAACTCCGACGAGTGACTGCAAGCAAGAAATCTTCACAAGGTCAATAATGTAACAAACTGTGCTCAGTTAAGAGCAGTAAAAATAAAAACCAAACTATGGATTTCCCAGAATATATTATTCTAAAAGTCTTCATGAGAGGCTTTTTTAAAAGGTAACTCTAGACTTTTTAAGATAAATTGTGAAAACAGCGTTCCTATATACACTTCTCTTTGTGTTACTATCTTACAGAAACATCAAATATTTATCCAAAAAATGACGGTACATCATAATATTGCTATAATACTGTTAAGTAAATTCAAAACTTAATCAAATTTCATCAGTTTTTCCATTGCTTCTGTTTTAGGACCAATCCAGAATGGCATCTTGGGTTTAGTTTTGTCCTGTCTCCTTGGTTTCTTCCAGCCTCTAACAATTCCTAAGTTCTCCCTTGTCTCTACAATTCCGACAGTTTGGAAGGGTGCCCATCCATTATTTTGTACAAGTACCTCAGGGTGGGCTTCTCTGGTGATTTCTCATTATGAGATGGAGGTTCAGCACTGTTGGGGGCATGCCGTAAAGACAATGTGCTTCCCAGTGTGCCATATCAAGGGACACTTGATGTCAGTATGTTTTACTGATGATGTTAACATTAATCACTCTGCTAAGATCAATGGTAGGCTTTTTATCACCTTTTTTTTTTTAATAGATGAAGAAGGAGAAGCTTAAGGAGAAAAACAAGTTACACACCCTAAATATAGGGTCTGACTCCAAAGTTCATGGACTTTCCAAAATTTACCACATTGTCCCACTTTAGTTGGAACTACAGTGAAAATTCCAGCCCCCCTTTTTTACTTCTCCTCTAAGATCCCTAGGTGAATAAAGTTGACTAAAACTGTTGCCCATTCTGTGTTTCTATGTGCTTTCAGAGTTCTAAAAAAAGGTGAGGGACGCCTGGGTGGCTCGGTTGGTTAGGCGACTGCCTTCAGCTCAGGTCATGACCCCAGAGCTCTGGGATGAGTCCCACATCTGGCTTCTTGCTGGGCGGGGAGCCTGCTTCTCCCTCTTCCTCTGCTGCCACTCTGCCTGCCTGTATGAGCTCTCTCTCTCTCTTTCTCTCTCCCTCCCTCCCTCCCTGGCAAATAAATAAATAAAATCTTTAAAGAAATAAAAAATTAAAAAAGGTGAAAATATAATTCAAATAAAAACATTAGAAAATTAGCATTTGCAGTCTCTCAGGATATTAAACATCAGGGTCTTGTCTTTTCTCCTGAGCCAGATTTATGTTTTCTGATGATCTGAGGCAAAAATAATTTTGCATATTGGGCAGCAAAAACCAACCAACCAACCAAAACAACATTGTCGAAAGAGAATATTAATATTTTCATCACAGAGAGATTTGGACATAGGCTGAGAAAGAGAACTAAATAGTTTTGAAGGAAATTTTCTTCAGAGAATCAGTAATAATAATCTCAATGACTATATTTGGCCTCCAAACTAGAAAAATAAGAATTTATTTTCCTTACTTTACCTCACTCCCCTGTCTCCCCACATCAATGATATATCTGAAATATTCACCATACTTGCTCTTAGAAATGTTTCATATAGAACAGACTTCATATTCTATTGGAAGGAAATCTAGTCAGTGAAATT